GTGTAGACGACGATGAGATGAGCCGCGCTGTACATTAAAAGTCCCTAAAAGCACACCATCACTATCTTCTCAAAACACTCACAATTTTGACCCGGTTGTATATGGAGTGCTTGATGCCCTTGTATGTCGACCACCAGGATGCCATTGCCATAAAAGTGAGGAAGTAGACGCTGTTGAGCAGGGAAGGCTAATCAAGAAATTGCAAGTATAAAAACTCGGGGATTACCTGGATGCAACCCGCAAAAGCAACCAATACAAAAAGAACGGCATTGGAAAGACGCTTCAGGGCGATGAGCAACGCCCGGGAGAACGCTTCGATGTTGCTCTTTTGGGTGAGGTGGCTAAATGGATTGTTCACTTTGTACTTTGCAATAAAATTTTCAAAAAGTTTGGATTGACCGCTTACCTGCTACCGCTTCTCACAACGTGTACGCTAGCGGGGTGCTCAACAAATATGCTGTGTCCCATACATTGCACCACGATCAGGTTCAGGAATGCAAAAGCTAAAGATCGTTGCTAATTCTGCGGACAAAGCGAACCAAATGCAATGACCTCCGGCATGTACCCACGGATGGTGTCGAAGCCCATGTTGCTGAAATGCCTGAAAAAGATTGCTTCCAAAAAAAAACCGCCGCTTACCGAATAAAGCCAGCTTGTCGTAGCCAGCGATAAAGCTCGTCATCGCAGTCGCTAGTGCTCTGTTGGCCGTCCTGGGCTCCAATGTAAATCTGAAACCCAAAAATCCTAGTTCCTTCCAGTACCAAACCTGAAATGCGATTTGCGCAAAAGCAGCAAGTGTTGAGATCAGGAATGCGAGATACGCGTAGATTTTTGCCGGAGCTATAAATTAAGCAATATTTTAAGGAATTTCTTTAAAAAATACCATTTAAAGGCGTTCCACCCGTAGTCGAAGGCAATATCGGGCCCACGAGAGCCAAAATGAGGTAGATCAGCGACAAAAATGACGGCCGAATGAAGGCGGCGATGACCAGGGCTGCCGGGAGCAAGCCCCGGTAGGCGATCGTCTTCAGCGCTGGGGACACCATATCAAGCCATATTCCTTTGAGATACCCTGAAAGCAAAGTGTTGCGACGATTAGGATGCGAAAAAAACAAGTTTCTATCGATAGAGACAATCAAAACCAGACCGGAAGTCGTTAGAGGTGGTGGTGGCTTGGGTTTGTTAGTAGGGCTCTCCATTTTCCAATTTTACAAGGGTCTCAGCATTGGGCTAGTGCCAAAAAAGTTCGGATACAGATCCAGCTAGAAATCGGCTGCCCAAAAAGCAAATAACAGACTGTGTGGCCGGGCCGCAAAAGGAGAGCCCTGTTCGCCGCGCTGAGCCCGGGCAACGTGATTCACAAAACAAATTGACTGTCTGGCAGGCAGATTTTTGCGGTTGAGAGAGGCAGAGAAAAATGGTTTTTGTTTTGGTCATGTACATGTGATAGGCAGGAGTCAACACCTAATTAGGGTACGGAGGTTCGGGGCACAACGCCGGGAACACGACCCGATAACGGTGAGCGGGATCGATATCGGATCGCTAGTTTTCTGGATGGATGCGTGCAGCAGGGCCCCCCGTGTACAGGCGACCGGGTATTGACAATGTGCTTGACTTCCAAATCATTCACGACCGCCGCATGATTGCCCTTTTAGCCGTCCCCGCATGACGATTCCATACAGCTAGAGAAAAAGCATGTGTTCAAAGCTTGCCCACCTTGAATTCGCGCTAATGATAAAAGCGATATCTAAATCCTTTCGCATGTCTTTCTCCCCCGAGCCCATGCAATGAATTCACCAACTTATTGTAGTTTTCGCAGTCTTTGGCCCCTCAAATAGCAACCTTTTTGAGCATTCCAAAAATCCCATTGTGATGACTCAGTGCTGGGACGCGCCCGAACTCCCGAGGTTTTCACAAGATTACAGCTTGAAGCGATAAAGTCTTCCTCTAGTTTGGTACGAGTTTTTTGAACCTAAGGAGAGCGCCGTTCAACTGGTTTTTTCGTAGGCTCGATTTGTCTGTCGGAGATGGCATGGTTGGCGCTGAATGGGGGGGCGATGACCAAATGTCTGACTCAATGGGAAAGACGCGGATACGAAATTGCTTCTTGTTTCGCCGCACGGTTTCAAGGCGAAAAACATGGATTTTACAAAAAAAAAGAACTAACAAAGGTTTTGTTAGCGATAAACAAAACTTTTAAACTAAGCAAACGAGAGGCTCCACTTGACGCGGATGTCAAATAACAGCGAGTAAACGGTTGCAGATTCCGAAATTGAATTTTTTTACTTTTTTTTTATCAAACTTTTGCTAAATCTAGGGTCCTTTAGTATCTAAAAAATTGTTATAATATAAACTCGGTTCCGGAATACATAGCAATCTAGCGGATGCATCTATGACATTTCCGATTCAGTGTTACAAAGCTTTTCTCGCTGCAACAAAAATGAAAAACGGCCCCCTACGGCCCGGCCTAGTGATAAAAGCGGAAGTGTGTAAGGTGGTAAATAGACGAGCTATTGGCCCTCTTCGGAAAACAAGCCCGTCTACTCGTCTGGTCATAGAAATGGCCCCTTGGCGGGAAGGACTTTGCCTGGCCTCCCCTTTCAGCCTCGCTGTTTTATGTCCTTTCGACCCTGGTTTTTGCGCAGCGCGCGTGTAAACTACCTTTGTTCGCAACCTGTTCGGGTCAGCACCGTTATCTTTACGATCTTCCGTTTTTGTTGTTCAAATTTCGTAATTTCAGGCGTAGACTTGGTAATGGGTGATCATCTGAAGCAAGACTCTCATATCGACGGCCTTCAGACACATGTCAAGAAGCGGAGGGTAACTCTATTTAGATCTTTCTTTCATAGAGAATTCAGGATGATATTCCTGGGTTGCGGCTGGTGATAGACAAAACTTGGCATGGAAATCCGACCGATCATCGACCAGCCGAGATCCAACTAGGATGGAAATTCGAAAAGATCCCTAACCGACCTCATAAACGTGTTGTCACGGTGGAATTCACGGTATGTTTAATTCTCTTTTTTTAAAGGGAAAGCCGCTTGCTTTTATCGGAATTTTTCAGACACCTTTCTACGATGATCCCGAACCAGAGATGATCCCTGGGATTACTCCAGAGGTTTATTTAATCTAATCCCTAACGAATTATTTTAGTTGACCGATTACGAGTGCATGATGCTGATTTTTGCGAATGAGAACAATCACTACTTGGAGGTGATCGTCGGCCCGCATGGGCACTGGATCTGCAGGCTCTATGACGGCATTGGCAACTGCTTCAACAATGGTAATTTATTGAATACGTTCTTGAAAGTTGACCCTTTAGGCGAAGAGCTAGAGCTGGTGGTTCACAACCAATGGGTCGGCGGCGATCTTTGGAATTGCAGTTTCGAAGTACCTTTGGCCTACTTTCCCGCAAGTTCGTTTTTTGAGAAGAGCGTTTACTTGCAAGTACTTTGAGTCACACAATTCATAATTTTTACAGATATCTATAAAATGAACGCCTTCACCCTCCATGGGCCCGAAGAAGAGCGCGTGATCGAGGCGTTGCGGCCGGTCAGCGATGGAAACGATGAAACACCGGATTTTCATAGAATAGAATTTTATAAGTACGTTTTATCAAAATTCAAAAATGTTTTGTATAGGAGAATCGACAAGGCAAAGTTCATCCCAATGCCCTACGGCGGAATCCCGTTCAAGGACTGGAAATACGGCGATCTCTGGGAAGGCCATTATTGATCTACAATTTAATGCGATTTTCTAACGGGTACTACCTTTTTTGTTACTTCACCTTTGATTACTCTCACCGTAACTTTGCCATTATGTGTATTTATTTTCCCCGTTTGTTGCTGTTGTGGGATGGGGCGACTTCGAATTGTCTCTTTATTGCGAACTCATTTTGTTGACGTTGAATAAGAAATTTTTCATGAACGGCCATTGTGAAAATGCCTAGTTTATATCACAGTACATCAGAGTCGGGCATACGAGGAGACACTGGGGTGATCAGATGAAATTGGCGAAAGACGAACTTTAGTTTTTGTTTGAAGGAAAATGGTGGCATTGGCGCATTTCGAATTTGACAGATGAGATTGGTTTAGCACATTTTGCAGTGATAGTTGAGGAAAATGAGGCACACCGCCATCCCGCCCACCGACAGCGGGATTATGACGAGCAGGACGATAAGAGAAGAACGTTGATTCCGGACGCCTTCCTCCCCCTAAATTGCGTTTTCATTACAACAGAAAGACGGGGGTTATAGGCTGTACGGCCAGGAAATGAATAATGTTCCCGAATCTTCAATCCTTGATAGCAAGTAGCCCGGAGGTGCGATTAAAAAGATGAACAGAAATTTGAGTTAGATGTTGTTTGGGGGAAATAAGCCGTGCTGCTAGGATTTGTGCTCTCTCACCTTTGTTTTATTAGGCTCTGGCTGTATCGTAAGATCGGTTTGGGGAAACGACACTTGGACTAACCTGATGCACCGGATGCATCGGATCGCTGTAGGTGAAGACGGCTTCGTCGCGGTTATTTGGCGCCTCGTCGAGGGACGTACGCAAATAGGCGAATGTGTTGCAGAAATCTTCAGTACAAGTGCACATCTGAATTTTCACATTTTCTTTCGGCTAAAATTTTGGAGTTTTTTGAGTAGCTCCAAGGTGCAAAATTAAATTTTTCTTTTTTTTGTTGTTGTTTACTGAAGTTGATGCGCTGAGTCCGAATTTTACACTTTTAAACAAAAATTTGATTTAGTCTACCGCTACCAAAAAGTCAAAACTTGAAATTGGAAGCCTTTTTCACGTGTTTGGTAACCTTTCGTAGTTTGTAGTGCAAATTTAAGTTTTGTAGGCTAAATTGGGGTTTTCTAAAAGTGCGAAAAGCAAACGTAGCTTGGCCGAGGTCTGGGTATCTGGATATCTTCAAAAACTTGTAACTTCGTTTCTTTATCAAGATTTTCTCATTTTTTTGCTGTTCTTTTTCAGAATTTACTACATGAACTTTTTCAGATGGCCGCCATGCCCAACGCGCCTGCCACTTTCAAGCAGAAGCTCGCCGTCGCCTCACTATGTATTTTTGTGGCTAGTCTGCCCGATCATGTCGCTGTAAGAATTTGCCTTCGCGCATGATTTTTCGCTCTAGTTGGGTGCCCCTCTACCTGCTAACTACCAATATCTGGCCGCTAGTCCTGGCCTATTTTGGCTGGATGTTCCTCGACTACTCGACGCCCCGGAAGGGAGGAAGGTCTTGGGTTTGTTACATTTTTAAAACAAAGTTTTGCTTTAGAAATGGTATCAGCGCCTTTCTCTATGGCAGCATTTCCGCGACTACTTTCCGTTGCGGATGGTGAAGACAGCTGATCTGCCGGCGATAGGAATTATATTCTCGGGTAATTTGAGAGATTCGGCGCTGAATATTTCTGTATTTAGGTCTCACCCGCACGGCGTTCTGAGCTTTGGGATCTTCGGCAATTGCCTGACAGCAGCCAGCGGGTTCCGTGAACAGTTCCCGGGAATTCAGCCTTCGGTCGCCACCCTTGACGGTCAATTCAAATTTGCTTTGCGCCGCGATTTTGCGATGGGCATGGGTAAGCAAGGTATGATGACTTTTAAAGAATCTTAGGCGGTGTCTCGGCTGCTCAAGAATCAATCTCATGGCTTCTGCAGAACCCCGGCAAGGGCCGTGCAGTGGCTGTGGTCGTTGGTGGGGCCGAGGAGGCTCTCGAAGCCCGTCCAGGTGCCACTCGTTTGCGTCTTGTCAAGCGTTACGGATTTGTGCGCTTGGCTATCCAATATCAGTAAGCTTCATTGGAGTCTGGACATTTTTTTAGTTGCCAACTGGTTCCTGTTTACCACTTTGGCGAAAACGATCTCTATGGTGATAACGGGACCGAGGACAACACGCACCTTCGCAGCTTGCAGGTGGCAGAAAGTTTGCGGCATTGTAATGGGTTTTAGACAAAAATCAAGTCCGTCTTCGGGTTCGCCCCTCCGCAGCTCCGCGGCACCGGCCTCTTCACCTCTTTCGGTCTCCTCCCCAAGCGCGGCCCGGTCACCTCGGTCTTCGGAAGTCCCATCGAGTGCAAGGTACCTTTGGCTTTGTTAGACTTATTTCCGAAATAGGTTGACGGCCACGAATATGGCACCACCCCTGATTTGGCAGATGTGGAACGCGTGCACGCCGCCTATTGCGAGCAGCTGAACGAGCTGTTTGAGACGCACAAACTTGGCCACGGCTATTCGGAGGAGGCTAAACTTGAATTCTTCTAAACTTATGGTATGGTGCAGTTCCATTAATGTTATTTTCATGTCTATGCTTCTTTTTGCTATGCCTGGTATATACTTTTTGCGGCCATGAAAACTACCCGGGTAACTTCTTTCGATCTGTGATTTCGACTTTCTCACCTTGCTGCCAAATGTCCTGTGATGTGTATGTAAATACGGGAATTACTTTGCTACGATAAACTGGAGATCTTCGCATAGTTTAGGGCTTCAAGGACCACGTTTAGGCATGTGTAAGAAGAAAGTCTTCATAGGTCACCAACCTCTTGCCAGCTATCAACGAGCCGCTCGCAGTTATTCCTGCCTTTGCTGCCATCGGCTTCTGCGCAGAGCTGGTGCAATACTGTGGCGTCTCCTGGAATAGGCTCACGATATTTTCCCACGCTAAGAAATTTTTATCCCCTTGCCACTTTTTTGGGGTGGCCCTTCTCCCATCGTTGCGACACCAGATTCGCGGTCTGCTGGAGGGCCGAATCGAATTTATCTCTGTGCCCAAATTCGGCGAAAGAGAGGGTCGGGACTCCCGTCACGGGCGCCGAACACGATGCGATTAGCGGCTAATTCCGAGCTTCTCCCCCCTACACACGCGCACCCCGCACCGGCAAGCATCGCGCCTATCCGGCACCAAATTGCGGGTCCTCGAGTGGCCATTTCGGAATTGCGTGTCTCGTTGACTCGGTAAGTTTTTGGCAAGTGCGCGAGCAACAGCTCACAAATTACCGGCGGAAACGAGGCATGCATTAGCGAGCGCGGAGGTTATTTTGGCAGGGGCTCGCTAGGGGAAAATTGGCGGGTGGGCAATCTATTTTAGTGCTAGAAATTATAAAGAGAGTGCTAGAAATCTATTTTAGTGCTAGAAATTTTATGGGCCTTTAAGTTTTGAGTCTTATTGGCTTTAATTTTAAAATCAAAATTTTTTAGAAATAGTGACGCCGCACCCTCGCAATCATGTAGCTGTTTTTGTCATTTACAAGCGTTTAGATTCAGGTGCTTCTAACAAACTTAGGAGTTATATTTAATTTTGAAGTAAAAAATAGTTGCAAGTTAATTTTAAATTTATTGTAGAAAATCAAAGGAATAAGCTTTTGAAAAGATTTGGGTCAGAAAGTCGAGACCCCGTGAGAAACCTAACGCGCTAAAATTATAGTTGTTTTTCCATCTACAAGAGTTTACGTTCAGGCGGGCCCCTGGATGAGAACCTGGTGGTCTGAATAAGGTAATTGAGGGGAATCGCCTCGCGGTGGGTTCTGAGAACGATGGGTATCTCTGTTATGATGCGCGGCGACGGGTCCGCCAAATGGAGTTATGTAAATGGGCTACAATCATGCCCGTCGCGCGAGTGGGGATGACGTGAACAACATTCAGGAATTGAATTTTTGAGCGTTTCGAACACCTCTGGCGGTTAGGGGTAGTGTCGGACAGCACCCCAAGAAACGCACCCCGGGTGCCTTTGAAACGCACCCCGGGGGTCTTTGAACGCACCCGGGTGCCTTTCAAACGCACCCCGGGGTCTGTTTGAAACGCACCCCGGGGTGCGTTTGAAAGACACCCCCTCTCCGTCCGGGGTGCATTAATAGTGTCCCCGGGTGCCTTTGAACGCACCCCGGGGTGCCTTTCGGGGTGTGTTTTGGGGTGCTCTCGGCCCCACAGGTGGTAAAGAATCGCAAGGCAAGCCGATAAATAAAAGTTTTTTTGGCATAGAAATATTACAGATATGTTTTACTATGTTTTCTATACAGAATTGATGCCATCCGACGGCTCCGCTTTCAGTAAGATATATTTGATAGGCTGTAATGTAGTTTTACAATGATTTATGGTACGATTTTCACACTTTATCGGGGCTTAAAATGTTTTTACTCATGCTTTTGTCAAAAAATTATGGAAATTATTGACGTGATTTTCAGAAATGGAACAGATAACAATTAATAGGATGTAACTGGAGTATGAAATAAGGCAAGAATAGTATATTGAAGGGTTTTATAAGGTTTTATAAGGTTCTTGGTAATATTTCTATGCCAAAAACCTTTTATTTATCGGCTTGCCTTGCGATTCGCTACTACCTGTAGGGGCCGAAACGCACCCCAAAACACACCCCGAAAGGCACCCCGGGTGCGTTCAAAGGCACCGGGGACACTATTAATGCACCCCGACGGAGAGGGGTGTTTCAACGCAATCCCGGGGTGGTTTCAACAGATCCCGGGGTGGGTTTGAAAGGCACCCCGGTGTGTTTCAGAAGACCCTCTGGGGGTGTGTTTCAGGCACCCGGGGTGCGTTTCTTGGGGTGCTGTCCGACACTAGTTAGGGGCTTGGCAGGAGCGCGGCTAGCAGAAGAGGTTTTTTTATAATTTGCGATGCACTCGACCCACCATCTTTCCTCACGCCGATCACGCAATAGTCGCTGCTGCAGATGAGCGCGTCCGCAGCTGGAGCGCGATCGCAGAAGCACTTGACGCCGGCTGCTGAAATGACTGTTTTTAGTGCCAATTTTTTGTTTCTTCGCATTATCGGGGGGTATTCCTTTAAGGGCAGCTAAGCCTATTAATGTATGAGCAGAGATTTGATGGTTTTTAGTGAGGTTGATCCATCTTTAATCGGAAAACCGTTAGGAAAATCAGAAAAATTCTCCAACGCCGTAATTCTGGTTCAAATCGTCCAGTTTGATTGGAGATTGATATTTTTTGCATGTTTGATAAAAAGATGGTTTGGGTTTACGCTAAGGAATAACAAAACGGCGTAGAAACAAAGAATTTTAGAAAAATTTGGTCCTAGGAGTAAAAAGTTCATTTCCGATGACGTCCGATGACCCGGATTATGCGAAATTTTTGGATTTTTTGAAAAACTTTTTTTTGATCCGAACACCCAGCACAAAACACTTGTTTTCCAAACCCCATCCACCCAGCGATTTCCGGGATGCCGGTTCGGGCACCCTCACCAGCCCCGAACAACTCGACACACCCTAATTACTGGGGGCGATGTGGCCCCGAATTCGGAATGAGCGATCGTCTTGCCCCCGACGGCCAAGACCGACACGCGAATAGGCCCTACTGCCCCCGGAAAATGGCAGGCCCCGGAATTAGGCTCGAGATGCTCGTTTCGGCGAGCTCCCTTGCTTTAGGACCCGTCGTGGGATTGACGTCTTCATCTCGCCGAGGTGGCTAAAACCGCCAGAAAAGCCGGGGAAGTGGAATTTGTTATGTGGGAATGTTGGGAGGGCCACGACTTGGAGTCGGGCAGGTTGGGAAGCGAAAATAGCTTTACTTTCTAATTGGCTAGAAAGTGTCAGCAGAGAAGCATTTCCGGGGTCTTTAGTATTATAAGGGGGCCTCATTATTAAAAACTTTTTCCTTAGAATTCAATTTTTCTGACATAAATAATGCCGTTTTTCTACACTGTTTTTTGAAGATTCTTGAAAATTTGATATCTTTAATTCAAAAATGCTAAATAGATAATTTTTGCCATCTAAGATAGCTTATTTCCAGCAAAATTTGAAATTTTCGTACATTTTCTAAGTTTTATAGATGGTTTTTTCTGCTCGAAAGAGAACTAAAATTTACCCACAGCGCCAGTAAAATGCATTTTAAGATGAACTTATAGGAAAATTCTGAACGTGCTCCCAATGCGAATGAACCGGAAGCCAAATTTGGAAACAATCGTACGGTTTGAATTACGGTGCTTATAATTTTTTTTAGGTTTAGCGCTAAATTCCCGACCCGGGGGTCAGTGGCATAACCTTGGCGCGTCCGGGGCGACGTGCTAAGGCTAAAAGAACCTTTTTCACGCCATCCGGCCCCGGGTGAGGCGATCGAATTTCCGGAATTCAAAAGGGAGATTGGATACTGGGGTGGTGTGGGCTGGGCGCTTTATGCCGTGAGCGCAGACCGCGCATCGAAAAGCACAGCCACGCCTAGCAAAAAGTTATAGCTGTTATAACTCGTTGGAGGTTTAAAGGGCGTTATTTCGAAGCCGCTAAACGGCGCTCAATAAGGGTTGGCTAAAAGGTTTCTGGACTAATTTATGCAGTTTTGGCTGCCGGCAAAGAGCGCAAAAAATCGTTCTGTCTAGTGGAACGGTTCGTAGCCCGATTTAGGGCTACGCCACCCGCCAAATTACACGTAACCCTGCGGTTTCCCGAGATCTTCGGCTTTTCCCTCAACGTACCAATCGGACAAAACGCGGCGGCGATGATGAGCAGCAGCTGGGTGAGGTGGGTGCAGAAGGGAGGGCCATCACCTGTCCACTCTTCGCCTCCGCATCGACGCTTTCTAGGAGTTCGGCGCGTTCGGATTGACCTGCAAAGAGCGCGTTCAGGGAATTTCGGTAAACAGAACAACAAAATGTACGAAATGATTAAAAATTTGAATTTTTCAAAGACTTTCTGAAACATTTTTGGCTCGTTAGCGCTCGAAAACTATTAAAAACCCTATAAAACGCTCAGAATTTGTGCCAGGTTAAAAATACACCGTAAATAAAGACTAGCTCGTCCCTCCCGCTAAGAGTCCAGAATCTGAGGAGCATGACTCATTCTCACCAAAAAAATTGGGCTCAAAAATTCAACGCCTGAGAAGCAATGTGATTATTGGCAGGCGGGATGACGGGTCGGGGATTATCTGCCCCCGGGGGCTCGGCGCTCTTTTTGCCAAAATGTCGGATTAGGCAGGAAATAAGGGGCGGAAAGTCCGGGTGCGCTTTTGACGACGCGATTTCCGCTATAATCGCATCTGTGGTCATCGGATCAACCATTAAGCCACAGCAATATATTAGGTATATTTTTATAAAGATCTGGTATGGAGGAAATAAAGGGAAAATCAGCAAAAACAACTATATTTTTGTGGATTTATTGAATAGGAACGTTGGCTAGAAGTTCAATCTTAGAAAAGTGGTACGAAAATCGGTACAAGCAAAGTTTTTCAGTTTTTCTTTGAGGATTTAAGCTTTTAGAAGCCGTAAATTAGCTTAATTTACCACGGAATGAAAGGCAAAGCACA